CTGGATTATATTTATGTCAGACGTATGTTCTCATAGTTAGTGTAGCTCAGAGAGACAGACCGTAGACTCTCACCATGGACAATTTTAGCGTCCTGGTTCGAATCCACCTGTTGGCACACTTTTATTTTTTCAAATTTTTCACCTGTATAAACACGAATTTAATTTTTCATACAGGCTTTTTCATTTTACTTCTGTTTTCTTCCTTAAATGTTTATGTTTGCTGTTGATATAAAAGACATTTATGGAAATGCAGATCATAAATTCTCTTTAACTAAACGTAATCAACCGGAACTATACCTCAGTGTAAGCACACTTTGTTCGAGGACACGAATCATTCACTTTGTGTTACTCGATACTGCAGGTGTCACGAAAAAAAAATCATGCCGAGCAAAAATTGCTGTGTTTGTCTTTCAAGAACATCTCTGGGTAATAGTACTGTTGTGCCATTGGGAGAGATACTGCGCTATGCAGAGTAGATGCAGTTCATTCCTCGGGAAAATTGTGTGCATTGGCGACATGTTATGTCAAAAATGCAGGGGGGAGGTTTACAGATTAGAAAAGAATGTGGTAAGGTCAGTTAAGGTTTTATGTCCCGTTGCCATTACCCAGGCATCAAGTAAGGACCCTCTTGTAAAGGATGTTTCTGTAAATACCGATGTAGGGTCATATGAAGACAGTTGACTAGAACTAAAACGATACATGAGAAACAAGAAACTACACGCATGTGGCCTAAAGTCAGGGACCGGAACGGATATCGATAAGCTTTTTCTAAAGACTGAAACCAATATCGGCCATATAAGTCAACGTATATATTTACCTAGAAGTGATCCTTAGAAAAAATTTTTGAGCGAAAATACTCATATTTCTATTAAAAAACCAGTTGACTTTCATATAAACTTTAGCAATGTCGATATGATTTAAGCATTGATAAAACAGGGGAAAACCTACCCTGAGAGAGAAAGAGAGGAAAATTAGCTCTAGTGTACGATTCCTGAGTAAAGATTCCGGGGTGGGGTGAGGGGCTGGTTATGGGGGAATCCTACTTTGTACAGCGGTTGTCATAAAAATTACATCATTCAAATGTTTTGATTTCATAATTCCATTTTTCTCGTAGAAAGACATATTTTCTCTATCGTAGAAAAATATATTCCTTCGCAAAATCAAGGTTGTAAATGCTAGGTACATTACCTGATTTAACATATTAGAAAAATATAGAAAGAAAATGACAGAATTCAAAAGGTTTCAATAAAAAAAGGCAGGCGGGGGAGGTCGGGAAGGGGGTTCCGGACCCCCCTCCCCCCTGGGATTTGCAGTTATATTTTTGTCAAAAACCTCGAGTATCATATTTTTTTAATTGGTTGGACCCCCCCCCCCCCTCGCAAAATTTCCTGGAACCGCGCATTAACCGATTTTCTGTGCTTTTCTCTGATCTTGGTTGTCAGAAACCAAGGCGCATGCGGGGCTTGATAGAAATAGAAAACTTGATATGACCTAATGGAAAAAATGAAGGTTGAAAGAGAAAGCTACTTGATGTGTTTTCTCTTTGCAAGACGCTCTGTACAAAGTGAGAAAAAAGAAATAGAAAGAGGAATCAAGAATATGAATGGGGATATGTATACCTGTGACAACTTCATGATAAAAATCTGACAATTTATTAAATATTTATAAAATTATAAGATTTTTAGTGTACATCTTAAAATTTTCAACGAAGATTCAAAAATTGAAAAGTTTGTGCTCTGTTATTTTATTTAGATTTTAAAAAAAATAAATAAATAGAATTCACATTAAACAACTAAAATTTTCAATTAACGTTTAAAACGTCGTAACAACGTTATGAATTTAATAACGTTATTTTGACGTAACGTCAATGTGTACCAACACCGTGCGCAACGTCACAGCATAAATGTACATGTATGTCCAATCGTAAACTACTATATAATGGTATTAATTTGATTAATCTTAAACAAAAAATAATGTGTAAATCTTGATTTAGCTTGTTTGTTATTTTTTAAAATGAAATAAAAAGAAAAAATGAAGCGCGATTTATATAATTGAACGATGTAATTTATCGGATTAACTAAGTAAAATAGTAAGTCGTACAGTATTGTATTCTCTTAAAATATCGTAACTTTTACTGATAAAGCGTATTTAAGTTTAACGATTTTTCTCTGATGTTAATTATGTTAACTGCTAAATTGTAGTCATGGCCATGGTATTTTTATATCAATACATCAAAAATGTATATTTTTACAAAGAAAAAAAAAAAGAATTCCCGATACTTACATATAATTATTTAGTCGGCAAATGTACACGACATGATTGTCGGGGTTTCATCCCTGATACTTGTTATTATTTTTTTTTTTATATATAATTTCTGCAAATAAGTGATTTTTTTTTTTTTAAAAAGATCGCTGAAATTCATAAATGGAAATATGATTATAGTTTAATTCATATTTAGGCCATTTTTAAAAGTCTACCCCCTTACTGCATATCATAAAATCCAGTGGAATCAAAATTCACGACCAACCTATATCATGTGATAGAAAATGCAGCATTCGATCATATATTACATGTTTACATGTCAAAAACATAAAAAAAAAAAAAACAAACAAACAATTTTCCTAAGTCTGAGAATTACATAAATAATTATTTGTAATCTAAAATGACTATTAAGTCTTATTTACATGTAGTTTCAAAAATATCCATTTCTATTTTCTTTCAGTTTTCCAAAGTCGATGATTTTCAGCAGTAAATATTTTTAATCTAAAATATCTATTAAATAAATTAAGCCTAATTTCGTCTTTAAAATATCCACTCCTAAATATTTTTAACTATTTTGCGTACAAAAATCGTGCGTTTGCGGTAACAGTCGTGAATGATCGTGTAACATGAAGAATCGTATGAGTGAAGGATTAATCTTGCGGAATCGTTCGTGTAACGTGATCGTTCCTATATGTTGTGAACAATAACGCTGCAGCCATTGTACATGCACATGTATCGATCGCCTCACAAACAACAATGATCGATTTCACTACTGTATTTGGAATATACAAGGGGCGGGGCTTACTGGCGGCAAGATTAAACCGGGGTCCGCTTCACGCATGAGTGCGTAAAGCGAACCCAGAAAGCGAACACCGGGTTCGCTCTAGCGGACCCAGAGCTGACCCCAAGCGAACCCGAAGCGCACCCAAGGCGAACCCAGAGCGAACCCAAAATTTCTGAAAGCGGACCCGCAGCGGACCCCGAGCGAACCCAGAAAGCGAACCTGGGGTCCGCTTTGGGTTCGCTCTGGTGTTAGGTTGTGTCTGGTCGGTACTGTACCTTTATTTACTCTGTTTGCCCCCTAGATGCCCAGGAGCAGAGAAGAAAATTTTCAAAGAAATAACCCATTTTCAATACAGATTCAGTATAGCCCCATCTTAATAGAAGAGCCCTCGACCCAGGAGACAAGATATTCACAATTTAAGAAGAGGCATCCTTGCTCATCATAATCATGCATTTAGAATGTTTCCTAAATAACAATGGACAGAGACGGTTTTCAAAGAAATAATGCGTTTCTACTTTATATTCAAAAGAGCCTCAACCTAACACCAAAATCCCTGACCCAAGGGTTATGAATTTTAAACTTTTTGAAAAGACATCTTTGCTCATCAAAACCATGCAATTAGTTTTTCTGTTAAATACCCAGGGACAGAGAAGAAGATTAAAAAAAATACATTTCCACTATATACTCAATATACCCTACCCTACCCTACATGAACCCCTGACCCTAGGGAACAAATTTCACAATTTTGGAAATGGCATGCTTGATCAACATGACTATGCACCTAATTCATCTGCTAAATACGCAGGGGCAAAGAAGAAGATTTTCAAAGAGTTTATGCAATTTTACTTTATAATCAATAGAGCCCACCTTAACACCAGAAGCCCGGACCCATGAGTCAATTGCAAGATGTTCACAATTTTGTTGGAAGCGCCCTTGCTCATCATAACTATTTACTTGGTTTATCTGCTAAATACATAGGAGCAGAAAAGAAGATTTTCAAAGAAATAATGCATTTCCAGTATATAATCAATATAGCCCCCCTCCACCTCCTGCAGAACCCCTCACCAAGGGGCCACAAATTTCCCAATATTGGATGATGCACCTTTGGTCATCATAACCAGCCATGTATCTAGTTTATTTGTTTTATATACAGGGGCAGAGAAGAAGATTTTTATGCAATTTTACTATATAACCAATAGAGCCCTACCCTAACACCAAAACCCCTGACCTAGGGGCCACATATTTAATACTTTTGGAGGAGGCGCCCTTCCTCACCATAACAATGTACTTGGTTTATCTGCTAAATACCTAGGAGCAGAGAAGAAGATTTTCAAAGAAATAATGCACTTTCACAATATATTCAATAGAGCCCCCCCCCCCTCCTGCAGAACCCCTCACCCTAGGGCCACACATTTCACAATTTTGGATCAGACACCCTTGATCATCATAACCATGTTCATGTACCTAGTTTATCTGCTTTATATATAGGGATAGAGAAGATTTTCAAAGAATTTATGTATTTTCAATATATGATCATTAACGCCCTACTCTAAATCAAGAACCCCGACCCTGGGGGCTATGAATTTCACAGTTTTGGTAAAGGGCTCAATGCTTATGAAAATCATGCCCACAGTTTGACTGCTTGATGTCCCGTGGTAAAGAAGAAGATTTTTGAATATAGCACTAATTTTGATGGTTTTAGCCCTACCCCTCAGGCCCCAAGGGGACAGGGACCATGAAATTCACAATTTTTGTACCACTTCAGCAATTGGTGTTACATGTAAAAATTGATTGAAATCGGCTCCGTGGTTCAAGAGAAGAAGCTGAAAATGTTCAAAAGTTTACGACCTACGAACGATATATTTTATATATTGAAACATTTAGTCGAAGTCTATAATTTATTTAACTATTTATAATACTACTATTTAAATCCAAATGTAAGTGTTACATGTACCTGCGTCAGATCTCTTCCTTTTTCTTCCAGATCCTTTCTATCTAATTTACTTGTAGCCTCGGTTTCGTGCACAACTTGATTTCTGTAAATCCGGATCCTTTCTATGTCGTCAGATTTGTTTGTATCACAGGTATCTGGAATCTCTCCCCAGCCTTTAGTTGGTGGATGATGTTGAGGTTTGGTAAGGTTCCTTAACATCTGGTACATCATCGTTACATCAAATGATTTAGAGCAGGGATTAGATCCATCAGCTGATATAGGATAAATATAATACTTGTACTGAAAAATCACTTAATTTCGTGGAGGCAAACTTTTGTTTGTCAAAAATTAATAGGTTCTTGGGGATTACATTTCGTGTTTGAGGAGGTGCTGAGTAGTATACATACATATACATACATACATACATACATATATATATATATATATATATATATATATATATATATATATATATATATATATATATATATATATATATATATATATATATATATATATATATATATATAAATATAAAATATCAAATTTTACAGTTCGTGAAGTACCTAATCTCACGGGTCTCTTCATACCATGAAATGAAAAAAAAAAACCACAATTAATATTTACACGAAAATTAGTGATTTCAGAGTATCTGTGTCATAAGGTAGAATAATACAGTGTATATCCTATAACCACGATTTCATATTGTGAATGTTAGTCTAATTAAAGATAAACTTCAGTTATTCTAAGTTTTTATTCTTTTTGAAGTGATACATTTCTACCCACAAATTTCTGTTCCCCTTAGCCATATTATTGATTTAGAATTCTTAGTGAAATACATGTTGTTGTTTTTTTAAATATTGATTTAATTTCACATCTTTTTTCACTTCTAATTTACCTAACACTGATAGCATTATTGTTAATCAGTGGAGTATACGAGGTATATTGTTAAGGGTAAATAAATCTATATACCAGGAAAAAGCCTGTTGAATTGATCGTCGTTCAAACGAAATTTTTTCTTCACTTTATCCTTTTCCGATGACATTTTCATAATGTCCTGTCGTGGGAACACCGTATCAAAATAAACCTGCATGGCATCTCGCCCAACCTTGGTTAACTTTTCAAACATCTTAAAGTGAAATTTTAGCAGTCCCTCCTCATAAAGGTTGATAAAGGTGTCTCCATGTAGGCTTGCAACTATTAAAATATTTCAATCGTAATTATAAAGTGTTTTATATTATCGACTAGTATATTCTGGAAGTACCGTTTGATATTAAGTTATATTATGAAACCACAATGAAATCTGAACATTTTTAAGACGCTCAGAAATTCTAGAAAAATACTTCTTTCATGAACACTGACCTTTCTCTGATATTCCACAATCCTACAATTTTGTAGAAATATTTTATATTGATATTCTAAACGAATGAATTCTGTTGATACTTGACTTTTTGATAAAATAATATTGGTGTAGTTACGATTGCAATTTGAATAATTATAGCCTTTTAAAAGTTTTTTTTTTTTTTACCTTTGTCCAGTATCCGAGTAAATCTGGCTCAAACAGAGTGTGATGATGTATCATCTCATGTCGAGGACAAATTATTTGACCCTTCCCGTGAATTTCTTTCTCTTCAACAAAACATTTATCATATTCACAATAGACCTCATTTAGTGTACATTGGTACCCTACACAGTACATGATTTTCTTGTGAAAGCTTCCGGAGATTTGATTTAATAATCGCTCTATGGTGTCACGTACTTCCAGAGTGACTTCTTTTTTGACAATAGTGTTACCATGTTGAAACACCTGAAGTTGTATTGAGGAGTGATTTACTGCAAGAACAATATTGTGCTCCTTATAATCAAAACAAGCAATGTTTTTATACAGACATAGTCCATCGTCCTTCAAAACTCTCCATTCATGTGTCATGCAAGTAACAATAAGACGAAAGTAAACAAACCATGGCAAAAAAATGAATCTGAAGACCAACACTGATGTTTTATTTTGACACTTTCTCAATTTCTCCTCGTGTGCAGCATCAAATGTACGTCTATTCATACAAGGTATGTAATGAATGTCCGACTTCAGCTCGACAAATATCAATCCAAGATGCTCCATGTACTGGAGAATACTTCTTTGCTTTCGAGGCTCTATTTGCAATTCTCCTGATGTCCATATTTTTTTGAGAAGTTGGTGGGAAAGATATCCATTTTGGTCGAAGTCCATCCATTCGGCGTCACTTTTTACTAAATCTAAAACATGGTTTGGATCTGTGATGATATTTTTGAAGGCATCAACAAACCATTGGATGTCAATTACAACAGTTTCAGAAAGACATTCCTCGTTGAAATGCAGAATAAGTCCAATTTCATGGAAAAGTTTCAAAACATCTTGAACATTTGTGTCTTTTTCGTCGATGTAGTTCAAGAAATTTGTAGACACTGCCTTACATGAAAGCATTTTTTCTGTGGATTTGAGTTCCCCTAGAACAACTTCACACATTGCCCAGTCTCTTGGAATAGTTTCCTTCCACCGTTCTTCTTTAGCAATTGAAACAATACATTTTTCTAAATCGGAAAGATTGTCAAGACATTGTCCACCTTTTTCCTGAAAGCCTAAAACGAAGCATCTCTTTCTGTTCAAGTGTCTTTTGAGATTTTCATCGTACCTCAGATGATGCAAAATACTTCTGTACATTTTTTCCGAAGTCTAAATAACATTAATATTGAAAAAAAAAATAAACACTTGTAAAAAGAAAATGTATGAGACATCGTTATATTTTCTTAAAATCAAACCCTTACTTGATATCTTTTTATTTATTATTATTGATAATAAAACGTTTAGGTTTAAGTATTGTAGAATCCTTATTTAATGCGAGTACTTAATATCTCAAAATGGTCCAAAGACGTCTAATCGCGAGAAAATGACAAAGAGTCACGTGAATTAGCAATATCAAGTTGAAGAAATATATAATTTTTTTTTTTTTTTCATATTTTAGACTTTTGTCAACCTCAAAGATTTGAAAACATATCTCATAAAATCTTATTTAATTGTAAGTACATGTACTTAATTACGACTACATTTTTATACACCTGTTTTCTGCCAAATTCACGAATATTGCAAATTCAAAAAGCCTGTTTTCTAATATCTGGACTTCTAGAAGAAAATTTGTTATAGGAAATGAAAGCACCAAGTCTCAACTTTACATTTTGATGTTTGAAATGGGACAAAGTGTGTCAGTCAATAAACAAGTAAATAAACAGGGCCATTTTAAGCAAAATAATGAACCTAGCTTTTTGCACGCATAGTATATAAAATTATCTTAAACGAATGTGCGCTAAAGGCCTATCAAATTGTTTCTTTCGGAAATATAGCTGGAAGATATAATTTTGCACATTTGCATCACAAAACAAAGAGAAATACATGTATACTATGTTTTATGAAATGTAATGTAAGTTCTATTACCTGTCCTTTGGCTTTGTCGAGGTGAGTTCCCACAAGTATAACGGGTGCATCTGAAGCACTGTACAGATGTATAGACTTCATCCAGAACAAAAGGTATTCTATTGTGAACAAATTTATTTCAATGACCAACTCAAATACACATGGAAATTTTTCTTTGAATTAGATGTCTTAAAAAGATAATGGTAATACGTTTTTACATGAATATTTCCTTACATTGATAATGTACTTTGTTTTTTTTTCTGTATTTAAAATTGTATTTCTAAAAATATCATACTTGTTGGAGATATTCTAAAACATATACCCCCATATGTCCAGTCACCGAACATTGTTCCTTCGTGGTCACAACATTTCTTGTCGATCTTATCTTTAAATGGTTTAGACATATCTATCACCAGCAGATAGAAAGCCCTTCTGCTGAGGTAGACCTGATGACAGGCGTAATATGCACACTGTCCTCCAAAATCCATGACACTCAAAAGCTGCTTCCCTTCCTTATTTGTTTCTGCTGTAAGAGCTTGATAAAACAAAAAAGTATATTAAACAAAACTTGTATCTCGCAATTATAATGATACATATATCATTGTAAATTTTCCGATATATCTTTGATGCTATGCTTGATTTAAAGATTGTACAGGAAATGCAGTTAAGTAAAAACTCACATGTCATGAATTAGTAGATCACTTACTGATTTCAATACGCTGGCTGTTAAGTGTCCTAATATTACCAAAACATAGTTTAACGTTACATATATTATCGCCTAATCGATTTCAGAAGTTTTCTTTATCGTTATATTGCATACCTTATTGAATTAAAATTTACCGATATTTTTTTAACGCTAAAGGATAAAAAAAAGAACTGTGTAGTCAATCACATTATTAAAATACTGAATATACTCATGAACATGGCAAAAACACCAATCCCAGAAAACACAAGCGGTAGGATCGGGAGCCTAGGAGAAGTAAATTTCCTCTGTTGACCGGTGACTCTTGCTCTAAACCATTTGTATTTATCACGTAAACGGAATAATAAAATGAAAACAATGACTTAACAATTGGCATGAACCATGCCAGTGGAATACAATGATGGGTCGTATTTGCAAACAAGATCGATCATTACATCGACAATAGAGTTTGTGAGATTCTGACTTTAAACAGAATTGTTTACAAAGCATTGCAACATCAACTTAATTCGTCAGTCTCCTGCCTCGGTTTCAAATTAAAACTGAGTGTACTTAGAATATCATAACCTGTGTATCGAATCAGTATAGTCACAAACACAAAATACAGGTTATACTCCAATATTACTGCATAAATATAGAAAGTTGACGTTTGAAAAGCTAAATTCATTATGTTTGTTGAGTAGTGTACTTGTTAATTGATCATTCAAGTCAGTTGAACATCTAAACGTGACATAAAAGTGTTAAATTCTGTAGTGTCTTTTCTTTCGACTTCACTGGGATATAGTGAGTCAATATATGAATGATAATAACTCCTGGTAATTGATAAAACGTCGTCAGCTTAATGTGGAGTTAAAGACAACAGCATAATTTCTTTTCTCAGCTGATGCATATTGTTTACATTCAGTGTCTTTCAGACATCCCTGAACTTCAAATCAGTAGAACATACCAACTGCACAAAATGCAGGTTCATTTGGTTTAAGATATAACCTAAAAAAGTACTATTATCATATATTCTCACAACTATCCACGTATTTTTTCTGCATTCAGTGTGAACATATAGTTCACTGATCAGATTTTAAATCAAAGAAGTAGATGGACAGTAAAAACATGATAATTAACAAGAGGTCCATTGGACAGAACGCTCACCTGAGTCACTTTTTTAATTCTACAAAAAAAAAAATATTGACTTCGTAATTAGGACAAAAATCTAACCTTAAGGGAAATACTATTTAATCAAAGGTGAATATACACAACATTGGGATGCTTCAATATCAGCACGATCAACATGGCCAAGTTATTTTGGAGAGCATTTTGAAAAATTTGGATCTCTGATTTTCGCACATTCTTTAACCCAGACCTCATGAATAAAAGAAAATGATTCTACACCACTTATATAAGTATTGCTTATTATCATGATTTAATGTGGTCTTTCAACTCTTGAAAAGATTTCTTCCTATTTTATTTTCACGTTAACTCTTATTGTTTATTTTGGCCTCAGCCTATTCCTGGGGGTACTGATCAGAACAGTTTTATATATATATAATCTACCTGGTGATGTTTGTCAGTATATCAATATAAATAACACAATGACTCTGTTGTTCATAACGGGAAGAATTTTAAAGATTTTTTTTTATATATTCCTATGTAAAAACATTTATATATTTTAGCCCCGCCCAACTCAAAGGTTATATTTCCTAAAAATGTCATTATAACGATCATAGAATTTACCAAATAATAATTTTTAACAAGGTACTGGAAACCCCTGTAACATCAACTCATCTGTAATATGACTCATCATGGTTTTGCTTTTCTTGAGAGGATTTTCAAATAATTTTTCTTTATATTCATACGTAAGACTTTTGTCACCGCCCTACTAACGGGGGTCAAGGATTGAAAAAAAGATATGAATCTAGAAAAATATTAAAGCTTGTCTTGCCTTTTTGAGAAAAAAGATTTTTTACTAATTCTTAATTATCTCCCCATGGAAGAGGGTGCGGCCTTTCATTTAAAAAAAAAAATTGAATTCCTTTTGCACAAGGAATTTTTGTGTTTAGTTTGGTTGAAATTGGTGAGGTGGTTCTTGAGTCCAATGTAGAAGAAATTGTGCAACGTCATGAATATGAACGAGGGAGGTTGCAATAATTATAAAATATCAAAATAATTTCAAAAGCGCAGACAGTTCTTTAAAGAAAAAAATGTTATTACAGAACAAGAAAGTTAATAATTTGAGAAATGTAAAATAAAAATGTTATTTTAATTTAATATTTACTAGTGTTAACCCACCTTTCTCGAGAGTGATGAATATTTCACATTTATATGACTGCAAATATTCATAGACCATGTCTTTGGTAAATGATCTTTCCTGCATGTTTTACTCTTTATAACTTAAAAACATTAATTTATCAACGCTATCTATAAATCTTAGTCATAGTTGGATTAAATAGACTGTACACACATGAATGACTCGATATACTTATCAAGAGATTTCTTTGCACCCTCGTCTAGCATTCAACCAATAATCCAAGATAATGAATCAAAATTATATCTAAAGATTTTGCTCATAGCAATTTTACCATCATTTCGTCCGTACAACCAAAGAGGCAAACGCCAAACAAATAATGACAAACAAAGCTCCTGTTAAAATAAGACAATAAGGAGTTTTAAAATACCCTTTATCCAATTCCTTTGGTTTTACTAATATTCTTGAAAGGTATGAATATAGAGTAATAAGCTAGAAATAATAATACATGTTTAGGAGGATACTAACGCTAAAAATCTTGTCGGCTGATAAAGGAAAACAATTTGTGACCATTAGAATCCACCGGAATGTACTAAGACCTGTGGCCATATTCACAAAAATCTTACGACTAAAACAAAAATTTCCCATTACTCAACAAGTATCTAAGCTGTAGTATGACACCAAAATTTTTATTTCTAATACATTAGATTACATTGTAAGTAATATTCAAGAAAAAACAAATACATTTATTAAACAAAAAATTACAGAGCTGTCATTCTTTTATCTTAGTTGTAATATGTTTTGTGAAAAGGGCCACTGGTCTCAAATTGCCAAGGAGAGTATATCTTTTACATATCAATTTCACAATACATGGGTGAAGAATCAAAGTGATATTTAAGAAAGTACTTCTACAGATGAATAATAACAAGATATGAACATTTTTGAGTTTCATTTTCATTGAGGAAGACCTTGTCTTTTATGTCTACAATAACAGAAGACATGGCTTACACACCTCTTAAAGAATCTTCATCTTGTGAAACTTCAAAGATGTCCTCGTGAACCTCTAGTCCGACTGTCGACTTCAACATTTTTAACTCCGCCAAACTTTTCTTTTGTAGGCGTTTAAGGAGAGTAGTTTTACCAGCACCAGCGCATCCTACAATCATCGCACGAGCTCTGTGTGTACTCTGAGTTCCCTTTTTAGCACACTCTACGTACCTATATCTCGCATCATAGTCCCAATCAAGAATTTCTTCTGGTACATTAACTGAAACATTAATAAGAAGAGACCCTTGGGCCACACCGCTCACCTGAACAGTGAGGCTACGTTAAAAAGCAGAAATCAGTTCAAAAATGAAAAGTTGAAATACATTAGTGGTCCTAACATACCCCTTAGCGAGGGCACAAACTTGCATATACCGTTCTTGAGGATGTTTTCATAATTCTGTGACTACTCGCGGCTTTAGAAATTTTGAAAGATTTTTATCCCTATAAGTTTGAACTTTTATTGAGGCCCCACTATACCCTCAGGGTCATGATTTGAACAAATCTGAATCTTGAGATTTTTCCGATATCCTCCTATGTAAAATTTAAATTGTTCATTCATTGTGGTCCCACCCTATCCCAGGGGTCATGATTTGAACAAACTTAAATTTACACTTCTTGAGGATGTTTCCATATAGAAAATCACCAATCATGGCTTTCCTTTTCTTGGGAAGACTTTTAAAGATTTTTCCTATGTATTCCTATTTAAAACGTCCATTGTGGCCCCCACCTTTACCCCGGGCCTCATGATTTGGACAAACTTGAATTTACACTACCTGAGGATGGTTCCACATAAAAATGACTAATCATGGCTTTGTTGTTCTTGAGAAGAAGATTTTTAAAAAAAAATCCAATCATGACCGAGTGTCATGATTTGAACAAATTTGAATCTACACTACCTGAGGATACTTCCTTCTAAATATCTCCAATCATAGCTTTGCTGTTCTTGAGAAGAAAACTTTTAACGATTTTTGATGTTTTCCTATGTAAAACTTTGACCATCCATTGTGGCCCTATCCTATCCCCGGGGGTCACGATTTGAACAAACTTGAATCTAAACTACCTGTGGATGTTTCCATGATAAATTTCAACTTTATTGGCCCAATGGTTCTCGAGAAGAAGATTTTTAAAAGATGTCATTAATTTTCACTAATTTGTTATTATCTCCCCATGGAAGAAGGTGTGGCCCTTCATTTGAAGAAACTTGAATCCTCTTTACCCGAGGATACCTTATCACAAGATTGCTTGAAATTGTCCCAGCGGTTCCTGAGAAGAAGTCAAAAATGTGAAAAGTTTACATCCAGACGGAGAGACAGCTAGACGGATGGTCGGACAGACGGACGCCGGACACAATGTGAACAGAAAAGCTCACTTGAGCCTTCGGCTCAGGTGAGCTAATAAACATAATTTATCTCAAAATTAGTAGCATAAGTGCATCTTTTTGAGAATTACAAATATATTATATCATATTTTCTTTCTTGTTATATAATTTGAATAATTTTATTAATTCATTTACTGTTTAATATGACTTTTTTCCTTATTTCCTCGGCGACTTCTTCGTCAAAATAATTCTTTTTCTCCACAAGAACATGACGTATAGCATTTAATCCAAGTGCCTTAACGAATGCGTCCTCTAGTTTCTCTGGTAAGTATATACAACGCTCATTTTCACCTTTACGGTATCTCCAGGTACGTACATACTCTAACAAAGAATCCACTGAAGACAGTTTGATGTAGTTCTCATAGTCGTTGTCAGTTCTCAGACAATTCATTACAAAGTAACTCATCGCTTGATGGCGAACATTCTCTGATGCAAACCCTATGTTTTCTTTCTCCATTTTTACAGTTTTATCACGTTTCTCCATTTCTTCAAGTGTGTCCCAGAATGTATCCAGCTCGTCATGACACAAAGTTGGAAAGACCTTCACAACTTCCTGAATCTTCTCCTCTATAGTTTTTCTGCTGACTTCATAGTTTTCTGTCATCAAGATGGTACAGAGTATAGTTGTTTTTGAGGGAGTCAAAAATACACTCTTTGTGTCTGAAATTATTCATATACATGTATGTCTTATGTAAATATATTACTGTGTGTAAAATATTTGAATTCTTTGTAAGACAATAAAAAAAATGGATTCTTTTTCTCCATAAGCATTCCAAAGACTTATTTCGCAGGGAAAATTAAAATAAGATAAATTGATATGCATTCGGGAGATGATCCATGGAAAGATCAAAGCATGTCGGGAGAAAACAAAAATAAGTACATACCTCGATTAGGTAAAGAACATACTGTGCTCGCAGAGTAAACACTTTTTATCCTCTCATTAGGACACATATCAGTCCATCTTATAGGATCCACTATCTTTCTCAGTCGGCACCACGATAGTAGAAAATGCCTTACCTTTTCCAAGATACCCGACTCTCTACACACAGGAGGAAATATACCTATAAGACAAGAAAAAGTGTTAAAGCAGTCCATCATACATTTATTATAGAATATTTACACCCATTTAATTTTAGTATATCTCATTTATTTTTTAAAAAACCAATTGCCGTTTATCAGTCAGAAAACGCCATTAAGGATACCAGTTGCATTGATTTTTTGAGCAGTAGCTCTTCAATCAATGACAGTTCAATGACATACATTTCAATGCTACAATATTAAACCTACTTACGAGTAAACTTACTTTAAATTATTATTCATATAGATAAGTTTTGTTTGCTTGTTTGTTTGTTGTTTAACGTCCCTCTCGAGAATTTTTCACTCACATGGAGACGCCACCAATTGCCGGTGGAGATCTGCAAATTTTTGACTTATACTTGGCACTCAGGGTCACTGAGCAGTGAGGGATCTTTTTTGTGCCAGCACCTACTGTGACACGGGACCTCGGTTTATACGGTCTCATCCGAAGAACCGGTCTCCACGTCCCACAGTGGGATTCGAACCCGCGACGTAAGGATCAACTCCTTACTCCGCGACTCTAGAGCGAACTGTAAAATTTCAAATGATTGAGAACCGTGTATATATTACATAAATATAGCCCTTTCATGAGGTCGACCCATAGATATATCAACTTCACGGAAAAACATATCGATTTATTAAAGGGTTTAGCGTCTGCTCTAGAGTCGCGAAGTAAGGAGATGATCCTTACGTCGCGGGTTCAAATCCCACTGTGGGATGTGGAGACCGGTCCTTAGGATGAGACCGTATAAACCGAGGTCCCGTGTCGCAGTGGGTGCTGGCACAAAAAAGATTTCTCACTGCTCAATGGTCGTATGTGGACAAAATTTGCAGCCCTCCATCGGCAATTGGTGGCGTCTCCATATGAATGAAAAATTCTCGAGAGGAACCTTAAACAACATACAAACAAACAAAATTATAGGACTTCATTTGTTATATTATTTTTTACAGAGATTGACAAAAACAAAATTTCAAAAAAAAAAATGGGAACAAAAATTTCGAAAAAAAATGGGAACAAGCCACAATTACCAATATCATAAATGCACTGCGAAGCATGCTACAATATAACACTGGTCCAAAAACATACCTGTGTGAAGAATATGAAAGTCTATCTCAGTTTGGGCCTGAACTATAAGTCTCATTAAAGCTATAGGACAAGAGTCCTGTGGCTTTCTAGAAACATCTTCGTTAAAGATATAGGCGTCTGCATAGATGTATATGGAAAACCCCGAGGCAACTCTTGTAAAGAAGTCTATGTCAATATCACTGAGGAGACATTTCTCCCTATAAGATCTCATTAAATGAATACGTTTGTCTTCTGAGATACGCACTCTGTTACTATTACTGTCACATTTAACAAGTTCTTTACTCTCCAGCTCCTTCACTGTCTTCTTAACATCAATGTCACCCATAGAGGCATCGCTGACCATTGAGTTCCAACCATACATATCACAACACAGTAATAAGGTGTAGAGAACAGCATACTGATCCGTTGTTAAATCAGATAATGGGTCTACGGGTCGTCTATCTGAAAAATTAGCAATGCTAAAGTTAGTGGAAAAATATACAGTGCAAAACTGTACGACTAAATCTAGCGTTAAGCCTAATTATAAGCGTCGCTCATATTTCTATCGAACAGTCAGCGGTATTATAATATCCCAATATTCTATGAAATACGAGACAAAATCGAATCACTCTTTAATCCTTCGATATAAACTTTTTGTCAATTTTGGAGAAATGATTCGTGTATTAAGATGTAATGCTTCGATTCCATTAATATCTTTAAAAAAGATGACATATGGTTCGATTACTTAACCATATAATATATTTCTCAAAATATCAATGATTTGATAAAGGTTTTAAGAAAAAGAATAATTTTTTGTTCATAATTTTCAAACGTTTATGTCTCGATAAAGACTAAAAAAATATTACATTTTTCCCTTCAGTAATTTAAACAAATGTATAGTTATGTAAAATGATTCAAATTAATTACACGTATGTGTTACACTTGATACTGGATTACTAAACATCATAAAAGCCCGTACAAAGATGCATTGCAGTGTCCAGCAATACTGTACCAAGCCCCTCCTTACAAAAATATTAATCTTTGTCAAGTTGTAACTTCAGACGTACTGTGCTAAAGCATATTCTAGAAGTGGTGTAAATCAGATGTGATTTTCAGAAACTCCGAGGAACTTTTAGAAAATTTAGTCATCATTTTTTTCTAGTCAGTACCACAACATAAAAAAAAATCAAAACGTATGACTTTTCTTCAGTTAAAGCATACATGTATACAAATGTACAACAATGCCTCATTACAAATTCTCGATGAAACAATGCATTTTCACTCTATATTCAACAGAGCTCTGTTCTAACACCAACACCCTTAACTCAGGGTCTATTATTTTCATAACTTTAAAAAATGGCACCCTTGCTCATCATAACTATCATCGTCATAACCATCATCATAACCAAATCATATACGTTCCTGTCGAAATAAACAATTAAAGACTCTGAAATCCTTTTGGTATGTATCATATATGTATCAAACAGGAATAAGAATAATTTTGTTTCTAAAGTATTAATTCAAAATAAGTTATCATAGTAAGAGGGGAGATCTTGATTTCCATGAGGTATTCATTAGGATCATCCTACGTAGAAAAGCACTCGTTTTCAATTGCTGTGCCAAATTAAGGAGGATGGATCCTGCCATCAAAAGTAATGAGAATTTTTTATCAAGTATATTTTTAGAATTTATACACATAGTTTAATTAAAAATCAAAACAAAAAATGGGGTCAATGCGCTTCCTTTGGCTCTACAGAGCATTTAGTTTGACCTTTTTGCACTGTACGTCTTACACATAAACTATTTTTTAAAGTTTTTCCTCCAATAGTTTCTATTCAAATAAATTATGGGAACAAATAAAATCTTAATTCATCTTGAATAGACACATTAAAATTTGTGACAATGAAAAAAAATTTCAAATTACTCCGCATGTTCAATTATTTGACCTTTTTGCACTCAAAAAAATTTCATTTTTCTGGCATTAAAAATATAACAAGAAAAAAAAAATCATTTGAAAGTAATGACATTTTATTGAATTTAAAAAGAACGGTTAAAAGTATCTTATATATTCAGAAAAGAAAATTGAGAGTGGGGGTCTGTGATTTTAATTTTTAGATATTACTAAAATAATGCTAATTTTTATCTTAAATTAGTGCTATTTTTTTCTTGATTTTCACAATAAATTTGCTATATTTATCAAATATGATGATAGAATTCATGACAGTTTATTTAATATATAATTTAGGACCAGTATAAAACCCTTCACTGCACAAAATAACTGTGTGCGGAGTACATGTAAAAATAGGAATCCAAACTTAACATACTTTAAAACTTCGAAAGAGAAAAAAATGATCATTTTCTTCAAAAAAAAAACCTTCCACCACAAAATATAGTTCCTCATTTAATGCTTTTGGTATGGAATTTAATCATGGAGTTTTAACTGAAAATAATTAAATTGGCAATGTAGAACTCAAATTTATTGTAAGAATTAAAACATAATGCAGATTTTTTTTAAATATAGGTTAAAATAAAAATCTGCTCAAAAGCTCAGGAGCGAACCTCATTAACGACTAATTTCAACAGAGTCGATTACACTATAGAATCAAATAACTCATCTGTTAACACAATCACATTTATACTCACAAAAATGGCTAAATTTACTCAATAAAATACGTTAAAATTACACTAGATATAATGTGTTATTTAAATCAATGGGTTTTTGTGACGTCATATAACCTCAAAATCAAGAACGATAAACCGGTAACAAATTATCAAGTGCACAAGTTAACGCCTTCATTTCTCAGTTAAGCAAAGGCAATTTGTTTTACTAAATGTAATTTGATATTCTTTCATACCAGTCTTCATGTTTTAAAAGTAAAATCCTAGTGTTAAGAACTGTTTCGTATGATCTTTAAAAAATCCATGCATTTTCACTATCATAAAACCGTATAGCAGATTATTTAGAGGGAAGCTAATTTGGCTTATTTTAGCATTTTGGTAGTATCTCGCTAAAATTATAATCCCTAAATAATCAGTATTCTTTTTAGTGTTCTTTTCCAAAGTACTGGAACGAACCCTGTGTCCGCTACAATAAATTACGCTAAAATCATTGGCAAACCTTTGAGCAAAGAAAACGCCTAATTTTACACCCGCCAAGGAAACTCACTATACAGTATGCAGAGCCCTGCCTTAACACCAGAGTCCCATGAAAATTACATATTTGAAAGATGCACTTTTGTTCATCATAACCATGCATTCAGCATATCCAATGAATATCCACGAACAGAAGAATTTGTGCACTTTCATAATATTATCGATAGAGCCTCGCCTCAACACCATAAATTCTGACCCAGGGGCTATGAATTTTATACTTATAGAAGAGGCATACTTGCTGAATAAAAAAATGCGCTTCTTTGCTCACTGTAGATTCCTGAATATACGGGAGGATAAATTATCGTGTAATTACGCGAGAAGTACCGATCGCGAAATAAAATTACTCGCTTTCATTTTTATGGTGCTTTAATGTATGTAAAACCTCTAGATAAATCACCGATTCGCGAATTATTGTTCTCGTCATTTGACGACATTGGGCCATTTCGTGATATTAAGTACTCGTGTAAAATAAGGAATCTGCAGTTATACCCAGGAGAAGAGAAACTTTTCAAAGAAATAATGCATTTTCTTAATATCACCAACAAAGCACCCCCTTTATCAGAACCCCTCACCCTGCATGGGGCCACAAATTTCACAATTTTGGTAAAGGCACCCTTGTTTATCATAGTTTATCTGCTATAGAAGTTAGGACAAGATTTAAATGTAATATACCGTGTAATATAAAAGTAACATACCGTAATATTCCTCCATATACATATTATCATTATCATCATCATCATCATCATCATCATTATCATCATCATCATCATCATCATCATCATTATCATCATCATCATCATTATCATCATCATCATCATCATCATCATTATCATCATCATTATCATCATCATCATCATCATCATCATCATTGTCGTAGTCGTAGTCTTCATTGTTGTGTTCTAAAAGATCATAGTCGTCATCATTATCAAATTCGCTGTTATTTCCTACAATGAAAAAGGTGTAGATAACGAATAAAGATTTAAGTCATAAACAGAGAAAATAATACGATTCTTTAACACTGAAAACCCCAGAGATGAAATCAGGTGCTGCAGAGGCCTAAGCATCCCCTGTCGACTGGTTACACCCGCCGTGAGCCCTGTTGTAAAATGGTATAAAACAATGACCTATAGATTGGTTGGGAATACGTCAGTCAAAAAACAACCCAATGATAGAGTGTATTTGTAAACAAAGTCCATATAACGATCGAAGAAAATTGAGAATTTCCGATTTTAAACGAAATTATTGAAAGCCCTATAGCATCAACCTATCTGTCATAATGAATATGAATAGAAGGAATATTTAAAAAGGCGATAACAATGATCAACCAAAAATCCTATAAAAAGGTAAATTGAGAACAGGACTATTCTATTTACTAAATCATATGCAGTAATTTGGGTATTTTTAAGACACAAATAAAAGCCCAGTATGACAGTATCTTGCTTTTACCTTTATAACAACTCTTTGAATTATTTAAAAAAGTTTATCATGCTTTCAAAAGTAGTTGGATATTTTTCCATCAGATATAATTTTAGTATCCACATAAAGGGCTTAATTAAAAATAAAAGCAAACAAAGTGTGTCAATATGCTTATTTTGGTGCTAAAGGCATTTAATATGACCATTTTGCGTCTAACACATAAATCAATTTTTCCTCCAATATCTTTTTTTATCCAAATAAAATGATAGGATTAAATACTGTCTTATTTTGTCTAGAAAAAACACATTTAATTTTGTAACACTAAAAAAGTTTCAAAGTACTTCTCATAGTCACTTATTTGACCTTTCTGCACTCAAAGTATTTTTTTCTTCATTTAAGAGCCATTCTCTGTAATGACTTGAAATTTTATATAGGAGCTGTGGCACGCATAGTCTCAGAATTTCTCCAAACTCTCTATGATTAAAGTATTTGATGCCGTAAACTCAAATCAGGCAAAAATTGGTTGTCACGTGTCATGGTTACCATAGCAAAATGTCCTCAAGTTTGAAAATGGCATTTTTCAACATGTTCAGAGTCCCACAGTTAACGTTTGCAGGAAAGCAAACACGTGGCAATGACTGTTTCTGAAAGCTGAATGTCTGATGTCTTAAATGCATGATAAGCATGTTTGGTAAATTAACTATTACACACGTTACTATGGAAACAAAATATTCAAAAGTAATAATTTTGTTCATTTAATTTTATATAGTTATACACTTAAGAATAAAAACAATTGTAGGTTGAAATGCAAGCAAAAAATAGACAAAAGATATCTGTAACATATACCAAGGACGAAATATGATATTTCTTATAGTTTGGCAATGGTTGCCATGGTTTTAATACCACGAAGGGATTTTAAATTTACTCTCTTAGTGTTTTAATCTCATCCTACCTTTTTAAAAAGCATATTTCTATATAACTGATGATCAATTTTTAAAGGCATTGGTGTGACCCTAATTTTCACATTTCAAAAAAATTCAAATTCAATTCTTTAAATAGAGCGTTGCTATGGAAATAAGCCGAAAAAATATGCATAAAAATCTGAAAAATATTCTGTTTCCTTGGATACACACCCTTATGTGTATATTCCCAAAACTTTTATGATTGATGTTTATCATCAACTAACCTGACTTTCAATTTTACCTAACACCCAATCTCTAACTGGATGCAAAAAGTTGGCACACAGGGTTTGATATTGATATAAAATTAACAAAATCGAACATTTTTTCCTTCTTGGTAACCATAGCAACAGTGCTGTATTTTTCAACAAACTTGATCAGTATATGATATTCAACTTTAGTTCTACCAGATAAGTACTATTCAAGGTGAGTCAAATAATATGTTTCTATATTAAAAGGTAAGTAAATTCCTAAGGCAGCAAAAAATATCACTTTAAACAACTGGTACGTTGTTTCCATGGTTACACTGCAAAGTAACAATTAATCCCAATTTTTCTCATGTTGTCGATGTTGCAAGGTCCTAAGGATGTAAATGTGCCAGTCATGAATTTCATTGTTTTTCCTCAAGATAGTAGTATTTTGCATGGTCACACTGTGTTACTATGGCAACCATGAAAGTTATTTTTAGAATAATATTGTCAATACCTTATTACTTAAGGTGAAATATTTTTATTGTTTTTCTTAGGTTTTTGATTGAGTTTGATCATGTAACACCTATTATTAGTAAATATTAAGTGTTTTTCAGCATTTTTCAGCATCTAAAATGTATTCCAAATGTACCCATGGTTACCACTTACTTAGAGATAAATTCTAAATAGTTTCTTTATAGCATAAGTGGCAACAAGGTGTCATGTTTTTGTGAGAATGGTTTGTTTGTTTTTCTTAGTCTTTATTAAGGCTTAATAAAGATTCAAAGTAGCTGAAAATCTCAATTTTTCCAACTTTTCTGACTGTTACCATGGCAACCAAGACACATAGCAACGAAATTTTATTTGATATACGTTTCTGGTGACAAGTTGTAATAATGGGTAACGTTTCATCAAAATCGGTGACCATGCGTGGCAAAGAAGTTTAAGTGGTTACAGAGAATCGGTATTAAAGTTTAACAAGCAATAAAATAATTTTAAATTGTAAAGTTTATACTGAAATTAACCAGAATGGTTAAAATACAATTTTCTTATATATTCAAAGAAAATTAAAAGGGGGGTTCTTTGATGTAAATTTTTAGATATTACTAATATAATGTAAATTCAAAGGTTACAGCTTTTTTCTGAATTTCACAATATATTAATCGTATTTGTCACAATATGATAAAAGAATTCATGACAATAAATTTATTAAATAATTTGGGGCCAGAATTTTACATTGCAGTGCACAAAATAACTCTGTATGCAGCCTGGATATGCATGGAAAAAATAGGAATCCAAACTTAACTGTACCGTTAATACTTAAAGAGAATAATTGTTGATTCCATACGCAAGAGTATGCTCCACCCATGAACAATTTCTAAAACGAGGCAAGCTCTTCACAAACGAGTTGATTAAACAAAGATAACAGTCTCGTTTAAAGCCTATGACCAAAAACTCGGGATCGAACCTCTTTAAATACCTTTCCTTCACAGAGAAAAGATTCTGATGTTGAAGTTCATTCATTTTAAGAGAAGTTTTGACAGGATTTCAAGATGTACCGTTATAATCTTCTTCGTCATCACCATCATCATCATCATCATCATCATCACCATCGCCTTCATTGTCTTCATCATCATGGTCGTAAAGTTCATCATTGTTGAAATCATTTTCAAATTCGCTGTTATTTCCTACAATAAAAATAGTTATGAAAACGAACAGTGATCAAAGCCATAAAACATTTTTGCGCCAAGTTGTGACGTTGACTTGAAATCACAATAACGAAGTTTCATGTACGTTGTTATTGTTATCATCACTATTCATTTTTGTTTGTACTGTAGATCACCAAATTTTAACGACAGTTTATTTTCGCAAGATAAGTATTTAGAAGTGGGCAAAATTTCACAAATTCTGGACACTGTTGTATATAATCTATACTTATGAAAAATACATGAGAATGAAATTTTCGCGAGTATACCGTCTCGCCTAATTACGCAAAATTAAAGTTCTCGCAAATAAAAAGAGATAAACACTATTGCTAACTGTATCTAGAATATATTTTAATATATATATATATATATATATATATATATATATATATATATATATATATATATATATATATATATATATATATAACTTTTTATCTCAAAAGCAACTTACATTTCGCTTTACTAAAGTGAATGCGAGAATTCTGAGCAAAAAGGTTAGAAGGGTACAGTATAAAGCTCTTGTCTTGTGTAGGATGTACGTGAGTGGACGAAAGGATTTGAATTTTATCAGATTATCGTTTTCTTGACATTTCCTTGAATTAAACTAAATATGCATTTTTAAACAAGAAATATATGCAGATATTCTAGTTAATTCCTTATAAAATATGAGTTTGAACATGACTTTAATTTTATATGTACCAAGATAGTCATCATCATCATCATCACCATCATCACTATCATCATTTTCTTCTTCATCAACGTCATCTTCATTGTAGTCATCGTAATCGAAGTCTTGGTCATTATAATCATCATCGCTGAGGTCGTTTGAAGATTCATTATCATTCTTCTCAACAAATGAATTCAATGATTTGCCTGTAGATGTTGATGGATCATGACCCTTAGGTGTCTGCAAGTCACCGGAGCTTGTCCTCGATCTCTTTTTGGGGATCTGAATTTATTTATTTATTTATTTTAGATTTTTATGGTGTGTAGCACAAATAAGATCATAATTTGACATAATTTTATTTATCCAATTCTCCTTCATTAATTAACGCAGCAAATCATGTCTTTATTTGGTAAAAACCAATGTTATTTTAAAGGTACCATATGTCATATGCATGCTAATATCAGAGTTTTTATCATTTCCCTACAACTCTTTTTTGGAGTAAAGAAGTGAGTATTTAGTTATTAAATTGAACACCTTTTATTTCATTAAGATTTATTATTTAACAAAACGTAATTGATATCAAGATAGTTAAATATTTCATATTTATATATCATATACATTTCATATTGGCTATGAAGTTACCAAACCCGAAAATAATAAATATGAATCAAAGAAGTTACTCAACGATTAAATGACTAGAAACCATCCTCTAATTCTATATTATACAGAACTTTGGACCTTTTGTGAAAAAAGGTACACTGTAGTTACTTTCAGATTTTGAACACGTAGAAAAGTTAATTTCAGTGCTCACTGTTTTAAAAATGTAGAGCACTTGTCAAGGCCTCATCAAAACTCGAAAATCTTTCAAACATAACAGAATGTGAACATAAAACATCACATGGCTCATCACATCTGAGTTCTGTCAACAGTATCTTGTTTAGACACTTGCAGGGCCTTGTGCATGATAAAAGTAGAAAAATAAATGAATGCATTGCCAAATCAAACATCGATTTTGACTACATGTAAATATATACATTTGTGGTATCTCTCTATTATATAAACATGCAGAGAGCAAATATCTTCATACCTGTTTGAAGTTTTTCGAAGGTCATAGGTCATTACGTGACCTAATCACACAGCGCAGTAACATCTACATAAAAAGACTTACTCCACTAAGCAATATAGCATGTTTTTCATGCATAAAAATGTACAAAACACGCAAGTAAAATAATAATCATTTTATTTACAATGTAAACGAGTATTTAATACAGTTCTTGATCGATTTTACATAGAGAATAGAAAACTACGTGTTATAAGATTCATGTCTAAGCTGCATAGTCTCAACGTTTACCCTTATTTTTCTCGCAGACCTCTGAATGCTATAATTTTTTTTTTCATTAAACTTTACTTACAATAAATTTGAAAATCTGTTGAAAAATATCAATGTAATGCAATCACGCCACAAACAGCTGACAAACACTGCACTTTGGAAGTTCGGTAGGCACACCTCCATAATCGAGATGACGTTGTCTTAACAATGTATTAGCTGTCGCCAGTGTCTCCATGTCAACATCATAAATGAATAAATATGCCGTACTGAAATCGTAGATTTTATGTTTTTGATCAAATTTTGTACTTGATTTCAAGTTATCTGGTCCGAACAAGTGTCTCCATCCATCCCTTTCCGACCGAAATTCCTCCAACTTTTTATTATCAAACATCGGACGTGTTTCTTGTGTTTTTTAACATCGAATATCGGTTCTCATGAATACAAAAATTCCCAGACACCAAAATGCTCACTATAATTGATCACAAGTAGCCTTTCACATAATATTCCCTTCAAAACAGAATCCTTTGCAAGAGGAATTTGAAGCGTAACCGCTTTTCAAGCCGATTTACACCTAGCGTAATTTGTCAAAATCTACGACGCACAGTTAGTGCAATATTTATATTCGATTACATTCGATTGTCCGTCTCAAATGTATATATAAGAAATAAATAACAATTTTAAAAACTTCAATGGGAATTGAAGTGGGTCGGTACGTGATCAAATCTTCTGAGAAGGCCTTCGGCCGTCACAGGATTTGATCACGTGACCGACCCACTTCAATTCCCATTGAAGTTTTTAAACTTGTTATTTATTTCTTAAATAATATAAACGTAACCATAAATTAATTTTTGCATTACGCAAGTTGGATAGATTTAAATTTGTTTAATCAATGACTTATTTAGTACAAATCAGAAAACTTCAACGACGTGGAAGAATGATTGATTGTATGTTGTTTTACGTCCCGTTCAAGAATTTTTCACTCATATAAAGACGTCACTATATACCGGTGAAGAGCTTCAAATTTAGACCTTTTCTTGGCACTCAGAGACTTTGAGCAGTGAGGAATCTTTATCGTGCCAACGCCCACCGTTACAAGGGGCCTCGGTTTTCATCCGAAAGACCCGCAACTTTTACTTCAAGGGGCTGATCGCTTGGCGAAGGAACAGTTGCTACCTATTTTTTATCGACTTAGTCAGTCGCGGTCGTGATTCGAACACACGTCCTTCCGATCACGGAGCGAGCGCTCTACCGACTGAGCTACCGTGAATATCCGTGGAAGAATGGAATTCTCTATAAAATTAAGTATTCAAGTTTTTCTAATTCTTTCACTTCACTTTTTAAAGAAATGTACACCACATTTTAATACAAAATATAATAATACAGCCATTATTCTATTAGAAAGGACTTCTAAAAGTAAAAAAAAAGAACGAAAAAAATACTCACGATTTCATCACATTGTTGATTTTCAGGAGGCCTCTTTTCTGCCATGGTTTCCCTTTACTTCCCAGGATAATTCAAGATATACATCAACATATCCTATCTAATGAAGTTATCCTTCAATACAGATTTTAAAGACATTCTACTTGTGATTTTATTTCAGATTCATTTGAGTTGAGGGTAGCATTTAGCATTATAATGGGGCATGTTTACAAACAGCATAGTAGTTGGTGTGCTTTGCTCTAGTCTAGCTCGTAAAATTACTCTTTTTTCATTATGTAACAAGAGTTCAAATAAGACGTATGTTCTATTTGATGCGGAATCTTCATACCACCCATTTACAAGAGAGATGGGATGTACTAATCATGGCTAATATATGAGAGAAAACTGTTCGAACACGAACATAATTTTAAAACTGAAGATTTTGCATATATGCGATGAGACATTCGAACAACTGACATCAACTAAATCCAAAATTTCATTTAATGGATCTCTAAGGCATCTTTTTTGAAATATGGTTTTAGCATGGAAAGATAAATATAGGCTCTTAATTATTTTATATTTTTTTGTATTTTTTCAAAGATTAAAATTGTTTTATCTGCAAATAAGATACTTAAGAATTGAAAAGTTGCCATTAAAAATTACACAGTATGAATTTCTAAACAAACATGTCAAGAAGCGTCAATAGCCATTTTATTATTGTTTTTAATATTTTTTACGAAAATAAAACATTATTTATTCATATTTGTTAAACATAAAATCTTTGAGAAACAAATTACAATTAGGAAAGATATGATACTTAATCACATTATTTGAAAAAGAAAATCAGTTGTAAACTGTCCAAAAATTGGTAATTTTTAAATTTGGACCATTCCCAATTGACATTAAACCGATTCCGATTACAATCAATACAGAATTCATAATACCGAATTGTTGCCAATCTCATGCAGCTTCTACATGTAATAAGAAATCCATATGATTAATATAAGTTCAATTATCTTGAAAACCATATTACACAAAAGAAACATAGTATTTTTGGGAAATTGTGATATATTTCCTTTTTATATAATTATGGCTGGGATCGGTTTAATTATAATCGAGATTGGTCAAAATTTGAAAATTAGTAATTTTTTTCTTATATGTTGCTACACTGGTTCCCTGAAAAACCAACTACAAGCTATAAAAGCTAATGCATAAACTATAAACTATCAAAATTATATCACACCTCCGAAACACTAAATTTGTGTAGAGTCGAGTGATTTCAGATACGTGACTGATGGGATCCTTTTTCTTTGAAGTTGTGTTTCCTAGAGGCGACGTCTGCAATCGAGGGCAGATAACTTGTCTAAAATTTTGCAATTCCATTTCATTTCAATTTTTGTATAAAATACAATTGCCTGATATTTCTTTTCTTATGGTAATTATTTCTTTGAGCTTTTATCCATAGCTTTAAAGAATATTAAATAAATTATTAAAAAAACTATTAATTTAGGACTCATAAATTAATTCTTACTAAAAAATTTAGAAAGTCAACCTGATTCTTCTTGATATGTTTCTGTAGTAATTTCTATTGTGTAATTTTCAACTCTTGAGCATCTTATTCGCAAATAAAATAAATATGACATTTTCTTTCAAAAAATACAAAAAGAATTCATAAACAAGAGACCCCGGGGCTACATCACTCACCTGAGCACTCTGGCTAGGAAAAAAGCAGAAATCAGTTTAGTCTTGCAGTGTCTAACTATAAAAATGGTTCGGGGAGGGTGTTGATTTGAACTAACTTAAATCTATCCTTCATAGAAATGCTTTTGAATCAATATGACAAATAATAACTTTGCTGTTCTAAAGAAAACATTTTTATTGATATATCCTTTGTATTCCATTGTATAATTATGATCCCCCGTTAATGGCCCCTCTTTTCTCCTGGGGGTGGGGGTGGGGTCATGATTTGAACAATTTGAATCTGCATGACCTGAGGATGCTTCCATTTAAATATGACTAATTATGGATTTGCTGTTCTTGATAAAAGATGTTTAAAGATTTTTCCTATGTATTCCTATGTAAAACTTTGATAGCCAATTGTGGCTTAACCCTACCCCTGAGGGATTGAATTGAACAAACGGAGGAAACTTCCATACTAATCATGGCTTTGCTATTCTTAAGAAGATTTTAAAAGATTTTTTTCCTATGTATTCCTATGTAAAAGTTTGATCGCCCAATGTGGCCAAAACCTAACCCTAGGGGTCATGATTTGAACAAATTTGAATCTACACAACCTGAGGATGCTTCCATATAAATATGAACAGTCATGGCTTTGTTGTTCTTGAGAAAAAGATTTTTAAAGATTTTCTTTATATATTCCTTTGCAAAACTTAGATCGTCCATTGTGGCACCATTCTACCCCTGAGGGTCATGATTTGAACAAACTTGAATCTACACTTCCTGAGGATGCTTCCAAATAAATATGATTAATCATGACTTTGTTTTTCTTGAAAAGGTTCTTTAAAGATTTTTTCTATATAGTTTGATCGCCCATTGTGGCTTCACACTACCCCTGGGGGTCATGATTTGAACAAACTTGAATCTACACTAACTGAGGATGCTTCCACATAAGTTTCATATTTTTTAGCACAATGGTTCTTGAGAAGATTTTTGAATGACGATATTAATTTTTCACGAATTCATAATTATCTCCCCTTGGAAGAAGGCCTTGGCCTTCATTTGAACAAATTTGAATTTCCTTTACCCAAGGATACTTTGTGGCAAGTTTGATTGAAATTGGCCCAGGAGTTCTTGAGAAGAAGATGACAATATGAAAAGTTTACGTGGACGACAACGACGACAGACAAGGGACAAATTTTGATCAGAAAAGCTCCCTTGAGCCTTCGGCTCGAGCGAGCTAAAAAAAATTAAATTCTAATAGCGATCTTTCCATGCTGAAACCATGTTTCAATAGAGATTTCTTAAACACCCAATTTTACAATAACTCTCCCAAAATCTTCGTTATTGAAGATTAATGACATACCGCCTGTCAATCATAGAAAAAACAATAGCTACTGATTTGATTGACAGGCTAACTTCCTGTGCAACTTGATAATCTGAATTTGCATGTTTTGAATACGATCACCTGGTCACGCGTGAAATGCTTTCATGTTCCCCATGAATAGTAGCTTTATAAACACTATGGTAAAAAAAGGTAAATCGCTGTAATATTGGCTGGTAATTATGTTTCAAAAATAATTGAGAGTAGATAATATGAATTCTTGACCTCATGAATTATTTTTTTTTCAATCTCTGCTTTGGTAATTGAAAGTAATACGACGTCCAAGATAACTAGCGACTATTCGAGCCCCTTTCTCCTTTAATGACTGGGACTGGGATGCAGAGAGGGAAGAAGTTCCTGTAGCAGCACAGACCTATAACTCTTCCGATCCTATTCAACCTGTGCCTGCATTTCAAGAATGTCCTGATTGCACTTACATGAGAATGATTTCCTTTACTGACGATTAAAAACATATTGATGTGATTGCTTTGTAGTTTTCAGTCGTGATTTTTTATTGATATTTCTTTTATTAATTTTATTAATTATTTTATCCTTTAATTAAAAGATATCGATAAAAACGTTAAGTTGACCTAATTTACATTTGAGTATAAATATTTACAGTAGTTGCACTCAAAATTAGGCAAGAAACGCGTAAAGTTGCATTGACCCTAATTATCAAATTGTGTAATGCAATGTATGTATTATTCCCACTTATTTGTATATATTATTCCCACTAAGCCAACATTTTGAGAATTCCTATTTCCACATAGCCAACAATTGATTTTTATACCTGAGTGATCAGAAAAATATAGTCTGTTTTTATATACAAGTGTTGGTACTTGAGCTTTACCCGAGAATTACTTTCATTAAAAATGATAATGTGAAAATTACAAAAAAATGAAGAAAATTTTGATTGAAACAACAAATTAAAAAGAGTACAAATAAGAATGTTATATTCACACACACACACACACACACACCCTCACACACACCTACATGCATCACCGACCATTCGAGGACTATGACACCCCACCTTCCTCCGAGGACTATACTTTCTAATTGAGATATTTTTTCAAGATTTGGTATATTTATAAGGTTTGGCACTAGTTACACGATGGGGGATTGCATTATGTTGTATTTTGAAAATTAAAGCATGATTTTTTCACTATGCTTTAGAGGACGTTGTGTTAACGTAAGAGGACGTTGTGTTAACGTGAGAGGACGGTGTGTTAACCTTGCGAGGACGGTGTGTTAGCCGTGAGAGGACGGTGTGTTAACCTTGCGAGGACGGTGTGTTAAGCTTGAGAGGACGGTGTGTTAACTGTGAGAGGACGGTGTGTTAAGCTTGAGAGGACGTTGTGTTAACCTTGCGAGGACGATGTGTTATCCGATAAAGGACGTTTTGCTTATCCCCCACAAAAGAGATGTAAACAAAGTTAGGAAACACATTTTTTAGTTTTCAATCATTCTTACGGTGCGCTGTAAGAACGTGCGCCATGTGTGTTGACAATAAGGGTCATCATTCGTCATACACAGGCCGGGGGGGGGGGGTCGATAGCGTCGGACATAAATCTTAATTTACATAGTTTTAATCAAGACCTTCTTCGACCCTTCAAACACATAAAATATTCATGTAGACCTCAACATTGTTCCAACCAGCAAAAGTACCGAATTTGTACGGTAGACCCCCCCCCCCCTTCAAGTATTTCCCGGGAAAATGGTTTTAGAGGGGGAGTCCCCCGGAAAAACTGAATCTAGAGAAGGATTTCTACTAAAGAAAGCCAATATTTTCGAGAGATCATACACAGCTTAAAAGCTATAAAGTGTGACTACCCCTCAAGCCAATTTTCTCTCCACCTAAAATTTAGTTTTCGGCTTTTGTTTTATATTTTTCATATTTTTTGCCGATTAAGGAAAATAATAAAAGAACTTCAACACCCTTTTTTATCAATGCCGTTCCTTGATAGTACTACTTTAATAATAAGTGAACTTACAAAGGCTGATGATT